GTGTAAATAATAATTCTGTAAATATATTTAATAATAAAGAGCGCCACACGCGCCCCATGGTGCTTCACCTGGGATAGTTAAAAAAAAAAAAAAAAAAATAATTTACAGAATTAAAACTGAATTTTCTTAATTTAAATTTTTTTTGCATTTTTAAAGATGTATTTTATTAGACATTTGTTTAAAATTTTATTTTTATTATGTAACAGTAGTATATTATAATTTAAATCAGAATGTATTGCATTACTTGAATGTATATAAGATTTGTAGTATAGCAAAAAACCTTTAGATTAGATGTTAGAAAAAAGTAGTTTACATAGTAAAATTGGTTAATAAAAACTTTTATTAGAGCACTAAAAGGTAGTTTTATATACTTAAACAATAATATAACAAAAAAAATTATATTATTCTAATTCTATATTTTAAGTTAAAATATATTTATATTATAAATATATATATTATATATTTAAATATTATTTGACCAATTTGACCAATACTAAACCTTTTGACCAACTGGTCAAATTGGTCAAATTGGTCTGGTCAAGCTTGACCATTGAATGGTCCATGCCAATCCTGATTATTGTATATATAAAAATATAATATATAATATAATTTTACATATTAATAAAACTACTTTGAAAGTTTTAATAAAAAAAATTTTTCTATAAAATTTTAAATATAAAGCTTTTCTAGTTCTAATTTTTAACTTTATTCTAAATTTATAACAAAAATTAATTTTAATTATTTGTAGATCAACTAATGATATTACCAGTAAAAAGACGAAGTAATTTTTTATTTATATAATTTTTTAAACTAAAGACATGTATAAACAAAAGCCAAAAAAAGCTATAAACATCAAAAATATACAATACTTTCTGACATAACTCGTAATTGAAAGATAATTAATAAAGACTTATTTAGTCAAAAGGCTAACTTTAAGAATTTAAAAGATTTGTTTAACTTGGTGTTTAACTAATTAATCCAATTTAACACAAAATTTATAACTACTATATACATATAACCCTATAAAAATAGTAAGACTATACAAAATTATTTCATGATTTTCATAATATAAAAATCTTAGAGACCCTATTGGCCGGGGTTTTTTTTTTGAAAATCCACCAGCTATTAAATTAAAAAATTTTTCAATTTAACACTGCCGGCCTATGAAACCAATTAAGCAATGTTGTATGGCCTAATAAATATAAAATATGTTTTAACATGTCTTTTAATATGTATTGTTATAAATAAATATCAATACGGCGCTTATAAGAAAGATGTATTGTCAAATCAGTCGAGTTAAATACAACAAAAAATTTTTACAAATCTAATCAATCTATTTTTAAATACTTCCAATGTTTATTACGTTTACAACAAAGATCGAGTATCTACAGTCAAAATATTATCATAGTAGCTTCTTAAAAATGCATAAATTCCCCCCTGAAATCAAATATCAGACGGAATTAATTGTTAATTGACAAGTAAAAAAAAAAAGTTCTTAAAACGGTCAAACAGTCTTACCAAGACGTCGGATAATTTGTAAATTCTGGCCTTGGAGGATGCATAGTTGAAGCTGGATATGCCTGATCAGATGTTGATTGTGAAGACGTTGAAGCATTTTTGTCAACTACCTGAAAAACTTCATATTCTTCAACAGAAAAATTTTGAAGTTCGCAAATTTCAGTTTCATAGTCGTAGCGTTGGCACGTGCACTTTGAGGAAGAGTTAAAGTTATCATTCATTCTCAAATCGGTTTGCCCAAAACAAGGACCATGGTATTGAGAAGAAAATATAGCAAAAGAAGTATTTTCTGGAGAAATACGACTAAGTTTAGCATTCTCAAGATTTCTTCCATCACCAAGAGAAAACAGAAAACTATCATGGCTACTTTGGTAAGGACCAACATCATATGTAGATCGAGTAATGTTTAATGAAGGTCTTCGACGATGCGGAGACCAAGGTGGGGCAGCAGCAGACATCCAACCACCTTCAGTTGGTGTGTTGAATCTTCGCCAGCCTAGCGGGTTATAACCGCCAATTATTTCACCAGATTCCTTAATTTTAATAACAACAACAGTAGGTCCTTGATTATCGCATAGCTTATGAAATTCTTGCGCAGTAAAACCATCCCTGGTACCACGTAGGAGCAAAATAAAATTATATTTAGATTTTTCCACACTTGATTGATTACCCTCTTTTCGATCAATCCATTTTGCAATAAGAGCTATATGTCTAAATTTAATTATGTTTGATTCTATTCCGGGAATTCTTGGAGGCAATATAACAGAATCAAGCTGACCAATATTTCCTTTTTTAAGATAATATTGTAATATATCCTCACGTAATTTGAGAGGTAAAATATGTTCAAATGGCCTCACTTTATCATAATAATCAGCAGAATCGATGTGAAAATATCTTACTAAAGGAATGCATGATTCAAGAGTACATTTCAAAACCTCAAAATCAGACTGAGACCAATTTGAAATATTTCCATCAAGTGAAGGATTCTGTGCAATTCCCCATTCAATTAACCTGTTCCAAATCTCAATTTCCTCCATTAAAAGATCATCACGCTTCAAGAGAGGAACAAGAACAGTTTCTTCTAAGGAACAGAAATTGTCAGATTCTAATAACCAATAAGGATCTTGACAAATCATTCCTAGGCAAAAATCTTGAAGATCTTTGCAGGCTTCAAGACTAGCAACAGTGTGCAATACATGGACGACATTCTTTTGTAGCCAATCAGATTTTTCTTGAATAAGATGATCCTGTGCATAAGCAATCAATTCATGAAGATTTAGTTCATCAGAAGCAGTTAAGATATTAAGAATAATTTCACCGTCTTGTTTGTGCAAATCGGCGACACCGGTATATATATACCTAGTTTATACAAATCAAACTTGTTAAAAACTAAGCGCGCAATTTTTCGTAGCTATTATAAGGTTGCATACTTAAGAATAAACAAAAATACATCTTTTGTGATATTTGGTTTCTGAAAGACGATTGAGCCATTCTCTTTTTTTGCCCAATCCCTAGATAATGCTCTTCGAAAGTACGTAGACCTTGCACGTAAAATCACTGTATGTGCATAGAATTTTTTTACATTTGGCTCTTTGCCAACATAAATTATCATGTCATAGTCATCACTTTCCTCCAAAAGCTGGTTAAAATCAGTGGATAAAGATTCGTAAAATTCCATTTGTGTGAATATGTAAAAGATAGGATTAAATTTATACATGGGCAGCACAATGCATGTGACTCGTGAACTCATAACTTGGTGGCGAATTAATTATGTTTCGTTATTGTTATACAAAAATTAAGAGTCGCATGAGTTTTCAGGCCTGACCCTTTGATGACCTTCAGGTCAGGTTGGGTCAGTCAATGGCCAGGGACGGTTAGTAACTTAGAGATGGGTGTTCTATCATATCGATCAATTTACAAACGCATTTCTTTTATAGAACAAATGTTATATAATAACATGTAAAATTCAAACTGTAATAATTCTAACCAGAAAACCCGCATAAATAAAATTACATTTCCCAAGTTCGTTTTAACATGCTCTTTAAAGTAATACCGATGGTTTTTTTTTTATTTTTATTGTATAGAGTGTGGCGAAGTTCTCGTTTTTTAATAACATAATATTGAAATTTCTGTCTGCACCGTTGCATATCGTGTAACACAACTTTCTTATAACAGTTTTTAACGTATTATGATAAAAAATATTAGATATTTGATAAGAAAACAAAAAAAAGAGCATTATTACTTTAAAAAGTGATCTAATAAGTATAATTTTATTTGTGGGTCTGCTAGTTCAAGACTTGAATTTTTTATTATTTATTAATCATCTTATTAAGCATAATACATACATAAAATTTCACTTTTTTTTTTTGAAGTTAAAATGAAGTTTTGCTTATATCTTTATTAAATTTGTTAAAGATGTTTCCAGAGGTTTTTTTAGATATAAATTACAAAATCTATTTCAATTACAAATTTATTACAAAATTAAAGTTCAGACTATAGAAAGATATTAACTATTATCTATTTAATTTATTTGTAACTTAAACATACTAGAATGGTTAAAATTTTTTTTTTTTTTAAATAGTAAGGTAAGTACTTGTGATTCAGGATTTTATTAATAGTATATTTGGTTAATGATTGTATTACAACCACAGAAGGCAACTATAGAAAGAGTATACAACTAGTCACTTATACAGCTTTAGTTATTGTCTAATTTAAGTAGTCTGCTCAAAGGTTCTATACTAGTTGTTATACTTGAAATCTACTTGTAGGTTTTCTATTTAAACACTCTAGTTCCTGTATCTACCCATCTACTTCTGCCTACTAATAACCTTGATCAATATTAGTAAAAATATGTTATAGTTACTAAGTTTTTAAAGCAGTTCATTTATATAGAGAATCTTTGATCTTGTATTAAATTTTTTAAAATTTTTTGTATCTTATTTTTACAGTTAACTCAGTACTGCTATGACTAAGACCAATACTTATAGTTAGAGCATACTATTAAACTGTTATGTCCTTGTAGAGTTTATCCTAATTCCGATACTAACTTCATAATATATCTCTACTACTTTGATATTTAATTTAAGTTTGTGTATTTATTTAATAAAATTAATCTATATATTGTTACTATTTTGAACTGTTTATCTATTGCTATATAGTAAAGTAAACTATTATACCTTCATTTTGTATATATTTGCAATAGTTAATCAGTATATTAGGTAACCTTGTTACTTGGTTGTATTGTATCAAGAAGGCTACAATTCTGTAACAACACTATATAGAAGTCTAGTAAAATATATGCTATACTAATTAAAATTAAGATATCTAAATTAAGCAATACAAGTCTGAGCTAAGAAAAACAAAAAGTATAGTTATTAATTGCTCATTTGGGATATTAGTTTGCTGAACAAAATATAAATATTGTATAATACAAATTAAACTTGAATATAATTATTTTTTAGACTCTGCTACAGTTATGTTTAATTCTAATTATCAGAAACTAAGTTATAATAAAATATGTATATACAAATACTTTATAATAAAGGAGTACTAATATTAATAATTATTAATATACTAACTAAACAGTAAGCAAATACATTTATAATAAAGATGTGTAGAATTCTTTAAATCATTAGTCTTAAAATTATATAAAAGGTTGTCACAAACTACAGAATTGCTAAATCATTTGAATAGTAATAATAAATATTTGGTTACCTGTTTAATAGACAAAGAAAAGCTTTATTGTTTAGTTTTTTTTATCTGTTTTGCTATTTTTATCTTCAAAAATTAACCTAAAATTATATTAATAAGTTATATATATAAAACTAATTAGTTTGGATTATATTATATTTTTATTTATTATTTTTTTTAAATTTATTTTATCTTTTTTTAATTTTTTTAATTTTTTTTAAAAAAAACATTTTTTTAATATATTAATTTAGAATATCACTTTTATTTATTACTGGTATTAATGCAAAAGGTATAATATTTCTTACTGCAAGCTGTCTTTTTGCTAATAAAACTATACTAAATTTTTGTTAAATGTTTTATCAATTAAAGTAAATGGTTGATCTTTAGTATAGGTGGATAAATATGTTTATTATTTAATTATAATATATATAAATTAACTATTTTGAATCAATTTAAGTAAATTTACAAATAGTTAGGGTCAGGATTAGAGTTATAATATAAATTGGCCTAAATTAGATGGGTTTTATATATTATAATTTTGTAATAATTTATATATGCCTATCTATACTAAAGAAGATCCAAGCAAATAGTTAATAATATAATTATTAACAGCATATGAACTTTTGTAAGTGATAAAAATCTTGAACTTATTTTTGCAATTTAAACAAAGTTGTCATATAATAAATATCAGCTTTGTATTTGGCATATTGAGCAAAATATTGTTAAAAACTTAAATAATAAGCTTAAAAATAAGTTTATAATATTTAGCAAAGATTTCAAAACAGTAATACTAGAATCTATAATAAATCAATTTAATACTTAGTAAGATTACTTAATTACTAAATATACTAAGACTAGTAATTATATGATAGAATATTAAAAACTTCTTGAAAGAATGTAGGCCTGTTTTTATACTAACAAAAATGTTAACTATAAAGTAGAAACAACATAGTAGTCAAAAGCTACTAATGCATCTTAAAACATTTACTTGGTCATATAACACCTTTACCAAAATTAATTAATATTATAGAAAAGCTTTTTTGTCATTAGTTTTAATGCTATCAATATTAACAGTATTGTTTATATAATAGTATTTATCAATAAGAATCTGAATTATTAAAAGATGTTTCATTAGTGTATCAGATTTTGTATATGCTTTATTGTTAAAACAATATAGTATAGCTTTAACTTATAATATTAAAAAACAAAAAGCAAACTTGTTACATATATATTATAATGAAATTCACAAATATGTAATATATCAAATTGATAATAGATATATTTGTTCTTGTAATTACAATGCCTAATTTGCTTTACTATGCTGTTATGTTCTTGTTATTTATATTACTAACAAAGAAATACTAAGTCTTAATTACATTGGTACTTATTGAATTATCTTTTTTTCAAAATTTACTATAATTAAAAAACAAAATAATATTAGTTATAATCTTAATAAAGATAATAATCTCAAAAAATTAAGAAAAAACTCTTTTTGTTAATTACCAAAATACAAAATCTGCAAAAACAAAAATCAAGACTAATAGGAAAACCATTGTCAAAACTGTGTTTGAAGACTTAATAAAAAAAAAAGCTCTTAAAATAGACTTAACATACAGAGCAATAGAAAAAAACAAGCCAAGAAGCAAGTAAAAAAAAAACAAGCTTGCCAAACAAGACTTGAAAAATAAAAATTTTGGGAAAATAGCTTAGACCTGGAATCACAGATCTGTTTAAAACACATAAGCATATGGAAAGACAAACAAACAGGCATGTACAAATATAGACAGAATAAATACATAAGTATTACAGAGTGCACATAATTGTAAACAAATAAAAAAGTAGCATAGAACACAGCCAAAGATGACATAAGCAAAAGCAGAAGAGTCAATAATACTAAAATTGGTAAATAAAAAAGCAGAGACAATACTAAAACTTATAGATAGCAAAGAGTTAGAGCAAGAACTAGCAAATAGAGACAACTATTTCAATGTAAGAAATATAGTTGTAGCAGCATTATGAAAAACAGACTTAATAGAGACAATAATGCTAAGAAAAATATATAAAGCAATAATTAAAGTAGATATAAAAGACCTAACCAGTATAGAAAAATGGGCAAAAGAAATAAATTGTGTAAGCTAATATCTAATAGCAGTAGAAAGCATGAGCAGTAAGAAAAATTAAACAACATTGAAAGAAGAAATAACTATACCAAAAACATATATGGAAAAAATAAGACAAATAATAGATACAATATATATAGTAATAGAAAAAAAAGAACTATGACAGAACACAAGTGAAGAAGAAAAAGAATAACAAAAAAGAAGAAGGAATAAAGAAGACATAAAAGATACAGAAAACATAAGTATGACAATAAAAACAACAATAGACAAATATATTGTTATAGAATGAATTATTATTATTTTATTATTATTAGTTATTATTATTATTTTATTATTATTATTAGTATTAGTTATTTTATTATTGTATTATTATTATTAGTAGAAGTTGCTAAAACATTTCGGTTGATTAGTAATCCTTAGTCACTTAGTTGCTTAGCCACTTAGTTACTTAGTAATTAGTCACTTAGTAATCATTAGTCATTAGTTGCTAGAACCTTCTAGTTACTTAGTAATCACTTAGTCGCTTAGTCACTTAGTCACTTAATTGCTTAGTTATTTGGCTGCTTAGCTACTTAGCTTACAGATATATAAACCCTACTAAATTTCCCAAATGCGATTAAGCAACAAACACTTCTCTTCTTTTTAATATTGTAAACACATCTTGGGATTCTTTAGAAACAAAAACCTAAGGATAGCCCTTCTTGTTATTACTTTAATAAATGGCTTTTGATTATAAACTGTATTGATACTTCCCCTCAGAGTAATTCCTATAGACAAGATTTATCTTCTCTTAGTAAAATAAAGTAAAGTTATTAGTATTGCATTACCTTTCCTGAACTGCCTCAGAAAAGAGTATAGTTTCTTGACA